CGTAAAAACAAATTTTTGTAATTTTTTCTTCATTATGGTATATTGCTTATACATTGTATATGCCTACACAGGTCAGAAAGTCAAAAATGCCTAGGCAGTCGAGAATCTCGGCTCGAGAATATGCGAGATCGAATTTCAGCTGTGGTGAGAGCAAGAAGGATAGACTGACATTCGCCGCCTTTCTCGAATCTACGAAGCTATACGAAACGCCAGAACTCATATACAAGGTGGTTGGCATTAGTGTGTGTGAGTGGTGGGGCAGTTCCCTTTGAGCACGGGTCTGCCGTCTGATAATACTCCACTGTCTTTTCCAATCCCTCCCATAATCAACTCACATGTATTTACGTACCCACTCAGCTGGCTGCCCATCAATACTAATTCAGTGCCTAGTTTCTCAACTAACCGTCATCCATGAGAAGAGGCCGCTAAAATCAGCTCCGAATTTTCAGGTCGGTATGGCAGTCAGATTCGGCCGCGAAAGTCCATAAGGTGAAACGTCTATTCATATATCTCGTCTGTGATTATACACGTGAAATATGTTCCTACAGTTGTTAACCTCTTCGGACCTGAGGGTAACGTATCTGTAGAATGATATTTAAAAATCAATAATTCTGGAATGTATAATATAATTTGTAGACATTAATTATATTTTATTTGGTATATTTACAATTTCTCCAAAACAGCTTAGGCCAAAACGCCGAATACGTTAAGCTTTAGTGATTAATGCATCGTTATTTCCTTTGTCGAATTCGGTAAATCCTACTTTATATCCAAAGTTATTTTCACATTGCAGGTCGTATACTATAATATAATTGCATCTATGTAGTAAATTTTATTGATATTAATGATTATAAACTAATGTATTTCTAAACCAGTTCTTTTGTGTATGCTCAAAGGATCGACTGCAGGACATATCGGAGTCTTCGACGCCACATTAATTTACCATGAGAGTCAGCATCATGATCAGTTTGATTGAAGGAGAAAACAACCACACAGTAAGTATAAATGTAACTTAGACGCATCACTTTTACGATTGTCTAACATTTATTACCCAAGTATACGACAAAGTACACATTGTATTTACACGTGAAGGGGAACGGGGTGTGATCACAAATGCAAAAACTAATACAACATCGTCTTAGAGCTTAACATATTTACATGTCCCTGAGGCTTAGTCTACCGTTATCATACACCCGCTATTATTGTACAATATAATTTATCCTATGCACCGAAAGCAATGGTCAATGTCGTACAGATTATTGGGCATCACACTTTCATTGTGTATGTACACGATATATCGGGAATTATCGCAAACGCACGTAAGCTGAACTAAAGACGACCGCCAAGCTCGATCGAAAAATTCATAGATCTTTCGTGACCGACACGATAACAATTTAGTCAACGTTCCCCGTGGTTTGAGAGAGTATCGATGAAATATTGAGGTCGAAGGATAGTTGTAAGCATCGTTTTTCCATAAGCAACCACGATACAGAACCGCCTCTCTTCTTGCAATCATTTAGAGAGGTTTGGAGGTGATTTTTCAGAAGTTGTCGAACTCCAAGGTGACCATTCAAATAGATTTTTAATTATACAGCTATTGTCAGAGATGGAAAGAATTCTATTCTCGATGAATATTTAACAAGTATTCCAATAAACAAGAAGCGAGATGGTACTGTATTGGCAATACGCGTGCAAACGAGCTACTCGGTTCGCTCTACTTGTACTGATCTACCTTATTTCGAACGACGATTCGAAGAAGGAGGGACACACACGGTGACATTAGTGGTCGGGGTACATTAAAATATTACCCGGATCGTCGTTCTATACAACCCTATACATTAATTCATACATGCTATTCTCGGTTACCGGCATTGTTACCTAAGGATCCGCGAAAGCAACCGTGAAAATGAATATTTGGAACGGAATGAGATCACAGATTCTCTCAGGAAATACTTCTGTGCGCTTGTACTGATCGACAAATATCTGAACATAGTCGTGGACGATAGTTCTGTAGTAGGTAACCGAAGTCTGGAGGTGTACTTTCGTTGGCAACGAACAAATATCTTACAGAAATAGGAATGATTGTTTGCATAAAATCATAATCAATTTTTAATTTGCGACAAAAATTCTTCCAGTTTCCTTACTCTATAAGGGTTGTATACACTTTGTTCTTATGTATACGGGATGTTCGAAAGAAACTTTGAATAGTGATTTTTCTAAGCTATCCAGAGAGTTATCGAGGGAGGTAACCTTTCTGTTAAATCCCCCATTTACACAGTGATTTTATTTATTTATGCACTCTGAAGTGTAAAGTCCTCTTCGTTAGGTATTTACACTTAATTACGAATATAATATTATTATAATATTTATTTGTTTCTAAAGGATCATTTCATCAAGTAACATGTAAATAAAATAAACTTACGATTACTATTATTAGTGTTGATAATAAATTTGTAACAACTATAGCACCAATATCATTAAATTAACAAATAAAATTGATTTTTGATGAAACTATTTATAACTATTTCAATATTTATTAGTAGAATCAAATCCTACTTATATTAATATTTCGCACTAACAATTGTATATCGTTTAGTATTTTCCGTAACATCAAATATATTCAGAGTAAACGAAGTAACTCTTTATCTATTACACATTAATTGATTCCAAATCCATACTAATCAGAATTTGTCCAAAATAATGTCGCAAATAAAAAATAGCTTCAATTTTATTAAAGTAATCGCACATACAATGGTCGTATGCTATTAAATACCATCTTATTAAGCAAAATATGTTCTAATTCTCTTAACTTAATATGAAAGAACATGTTAATGAATTGCAAATTAAATTGCAAATTGTTAAAGGAATCAGTATTTAAAATGCTCCAGACTTCGCAACGTTGGCAAATAGCGCTCTACTTAATTAAATTTTTTTCTTACAATTAGTATTAATAACGCGTATACGGAATGTTCGATATTTGACAGTCATTTTGTAGCAAATTAATTGATATTACATCTAACGAATGTTTATTAATTGCAATGGAATTTTTTCCTACGCTGTCCACGCGAATAGGTCAAAAGCCAAGTAATAACCAAGTACGAAAAAATTAAGTAATAATAAACATGTGAGATTATATTTTATTGCCTGACTTTTGAGCCCTTTGCGGAAATTTATTGCAACCAAAACGAAAATATAAATACATGTATGTATATCTTATAATATAATACAATTTATTTGTTAATTCGTAACAAATAGTATTCTCTTTAAAATATATAATGATCATAATTCTCCTGCAAAATCTAGCGAAGTACTTTCATGATTTTCGTTTCTCATACAAAAGGTGATAAAATGTAAGCAACGCGACTTTGTATTTCAATGAAAATGTAATAAATTGACGTTACCGCAGAATAATAATTTAAAAATAATTATTACCAATAAACAAATGTATGGTACATATCGGTTAGGTATGAGGTTTATATACAAGAGAAAATACTTAATTTACACCTCCATTTTCTACAATAAGAACGTCAGATGATCAGACAGTACGTGAAATAATATTTACAGAAGCTTTTCAACTTTAACAATAACTTGAAACATGTACATAATTACTATTGAATAATAAATAACGTTATATTTTATACATTATTTGTGCACAGGCTGTTTAGACTCAATTAAAGAAGAATAACAAAACATACGATCAACACATTCGATAGTTCGATAGGCCTCGCGAATATTCACAAACTCAAACAGTAATTATTGTACAGAAAACTTGAACGATTCGTGTAGAAATAAAAAGTTCCCAGACTCATCGTGGGAAATATCGTTAACGTAGAAACAAAAGTTTACAATATCGGTCTTTGTGTACTTTTCACAAACTATCTATATCAGAAGGAAAATTAGTACGATAATATATTATAGAAAGCAATGTCATCGATCTAATGACATGGAATTCGCGCGAAAAACATACATTTTCATTCTGGGAACACAATGCACTCGATTATCGCAGATATAAAAATTGCATTCCGCTGAAATGAGACCCATACCGAAAATTACTTTGAAGAAACACATACGCGCAACGATTCACGGTTTACTTACAAGACACATTCGTAAAGTACCACCTTCTCAATTTTGATAAAATTTAGCAGGTTTAAGGAGCAAGATAAAATATTGGCTACGTACTTTTGTTAGCAATAATTCATTAGTATTTCCTTTATTTACGGTAACTCGAATTTAAGGGGCCTTTCTATTTTGTGGGATTAAAAAAATCGAATTTTTTTGCATTTTCTTTTAGTATCTAGTCTCGAAAATATATCTACCAAATATGAAATTGAAATTCAGAAAACTAACGAAGTTATAGCCTGCTGAAATGTACCACGCGCAGGTATAACAATTGGACGTGAATTCATCAACAAAAACTGCGTAATCAATAGATATTATCTGTTGCAAAAATTTATAAATATAGTTAAATATATAATAAATATATCCCCAAAACTCGGAATTAGTCGGTCTTTAATAGTCCGCAAAAAAATCACAAGGAAACATCTTTTTTTCTTGCCTACAAGGTAGAATGGCCCCTTAAGTGGTTAGACAGCATTCGAGGGGTGAAACTACCCTCGAGACTTGAAGCTTCGGTTGCCATAGCTAGAGAATATACATATCCCTCATTTTTGGCTGCTGAACAAACCAGCAAAGTTTCGTCAACATCCAGAGGAAGAAGAGATACTTCGCGGATGTTCCTTGTTGGATCCTTGATCTTAGCAGCTACCACGGAATCGCTAATTTCTTCGCTTCCGAACTGCTTCTGGCAAGTTTCGTGTACACAAGGAAGAAACTCTCGGTTGGTTGGTCCACGATGTCCCATCGGATCAGCCCCGTCCGTGTTCCGCGAAGATTTCGACGCGTTCTAACTCGCGTATGTACCCGCGACCCGCGTCATCCTGAAGACTCGTCGAGACGTGGGTTAATCAGTTTTTGGCGGAATTGTCACTGCGGAAGGACACCTACGTCGATAATCCGCCGACCAAAATAGCCGTGACGGCGGTAATACCGAGGTTCGTGAACAAATGTCGATGAAAAAACGACGAGGCAGTCGCCGACTGGAAATCAATCTGCTCGTCATCGCCGTCGATACCATTCGCCATTGGCTCGTCCTTCATTCCAGCTGTCTTCCTTTCGTAACTGTGATCGATCTTCCTGGCTTTATTCGAAACCCACCTCGTGCTTGGCCTATTCGTCGTTGGCGGTTTATCGATTTCTGAAACGTAAGAATTCGGTGTATTACGAGCATGTATTAAAAATTGATGCGTCAATGTCGCTTCTCCCAATCTTCTTGCTAAAGGGGACTTGAACTCTCCAAATTGGATCATCCATTATAAAAAGCGGTGTACGGCTTCTTAAAAATTGGCCCTCTGCAAGCTTTCAAAACATTTTTTTTTTCTCTGATATTTTATAGAAAACTTCCCTTTTAAGGAGTAAGACCACTGTAAAAACCTGAAATAAAGCGATTTTTTTTTTTAAGGATGGTAAAGTAAAAAGTAAGAGGGTAATAATTATGAAAAATGTTATTAACTATGTCGTTAAATGTTCAAAAAAAAATATTTATTCAAAAATAGAGCAAAATGACGACGCTGGAGCCATTCTCGCGAGGCGTGTTTTGAATTTGAGGCGTTCTGCGGCACGCAGTGTAACTGACACAAAGTATGTGGAAAAAAACAAAAAATTTTCTTTTAATCTACATGAGTATAGCTAGAGAAATACGTAGAGGATTTTTTAAACATTAATTTTTGTGTAATTGGCGAGCATTTGAACTAAAAAGTTCAATTTTGTACAAAAAATGGGGCAATCATTTGTTAAAAAATAATGTTAAAATTAACTTATTGAAGATCCTCTACATATTGCTCTAGCTATACTTATGTAGATTAAGAGATCATATTTTGTTTTTTTCCAGATACAAAGGGTATAGACGAATAAGGGTGTCAAATATGCCCTCGAATCAAATTTGACATACGATGGATCCATCGATAGAACATCAGAAAAAAACATTTTGTGCCAAGTTTCAACCCTCTATCTTGTTCGGAAGGGTAGTTATAGGGAAAATCCGGCTGATCCAATTTGTGCCCATTTTCCGTATTTAATCAAGTAGGAAATATACGTAAAAAATCTGGTGCATTGTGGTTATCGAGATGCGTGTTCAATAATTTTTTCCGATTTTTCGATTCCAAATTCTAGGTGTAAAAAACGAATAACACAAAAAAACAGAAAAATACGGATTTCGTATTGAAGCTTTTGAGACACTAGATTTATATAATTACTGTAAATGTGTATTATCATTGGTTGTATCTCTGAATTTTTTCAGATTTTTTGGTAGGGTGCGTCGTAGTAGCAAAAATCAAAAACCGATTTTTCGACGTTTTTCACGTGAAAAAGCAACTTATACTTTGAATTTTTATATAACTATATTCTATGGTTTTAAACAATTCTATGTTAAGTAGAATGGTGTATAGAATAGAAAAGCAAAAATAAGTCACCAAATAAGAGGTGTTATGCGCATTATATTCAAAAGTATCAGCTACCGCAGAGCGCCTCAAATTCAACACGCATCACGAGAATGGCTCCAGCGTCGTCATTTTGCACTATTTTTATATAAATATTTTTTTTAACACTTAACGACATGGTTAATAACATTCTTGAATATTATTATCCTCTTACTTCTTCATCCATTAAAAAAAATGGCAAAAAAACGCTTTATTTCAGGCTTTTACAGTGGTCTTACCCCTTAAGATATTTTCTCGTATCATCAAAAGCAACGGAGGCATTATAAGTTTCGAGCTTCGGTGACATCCTGTAGAAATACACGGTAACTTAGCGTGAAATGCAATGAATTATAAAGTAGTAATAATAACTCTCAGGAAGTAGGAAAATGAGAATCCAAAAGGAATTTCACGAAGTTACATTTTACTGTCGCAATTATGCACCAATCTGAAGGATTAAAATTAAAGTGAAAAACTTGGAAGGTTCACGAAACGGTAGAGAAATGTTAAACAAACCGAATTTCGCGAAGTCGCGTTTCACTGTCGCAATTATGCGCTGTTCTAGGGAAATTCTCGAATTGGTAGAGAAATGTCAAATAAACCAAACTTAATAAAATTGAAATTTTCCTGTTACGCTTAATAACTAATATAGGAAATGAAGTTAGCCCATTAATCTGCAATTAAAGTGTCAATTTTCAGCAAATTTTTCACCGCGTTTGAAACAATGTTTCCTCGAATGCTCGATGAAAATCAAATAAAAATAATTGTTCTATACAATTTATCGGGTACGGGATTTGATATTCGAGTTCTAATCGAATTAAATTTATCGTTTCATACACCATTGATAAAAAGAGTCTTTGTCATCGTAGAATTGTTTACAGAGAGCTTCGACTACAGATCAATGGACTGACGTTGGCTTATCAGTTTCCCATAAATCCAGTATTACATACGCTGGACTGTTACTTAATCAATGTTAGTTTAGCGCGCCATTAGTTTACTGCTATTGGAGGGTTGAGCTTAAAGCTCACTTCATGCTTAATCCTGAAGCTTATTGTACTGTCTTTAAGATCGAAACGTGCAATCTCATACTATAAAAGCTACAGTCTCTGAAACTTGAGAAAGATCTGTTTGAAACACAGGAAAGAATATACAGGGTGTTCGGCCACCTCTAGCAAAAATTTTAATGAGCGATAGTAGAGGCCAAAATAAGACGAAAATCAAGAATACTAATTTGTTGATGGAAGCTTCGTTAAAAAGTTATTAACAATTAAATTCAAAAATTTCAAATCGTTCTGGAAAAATTATTTTCGGTTGCGGGTGTCAACTACAATCATTTTTGGTGAGTACACATACCTCCGAAATCCTATCTACTTTCGAGAAAAAAAATCGAGTAGGTGCTAAAATTTTTCGGCGAAAAAAAATTTTTCAAATCGTTCTAAAAAAATTATTTTCGGTTGCGGGGATCAATTACAATCATTTTTTATCATTACACATACCTCCGAAATTGTACGCACTTTCGAGAAAAAAATTCCTTACTGAAAATCCAATTAGGTGCCTAAATTTTTCAACGGAGAAAAAAAATTGCAAATCGTTGTGGAAAAATTATTTTCGGTTGCGGGGGTCAATTACAATCAGTTTTTGTCATTAGACATACCCACGAAATCCTGCCCACTTTCGAGAAAAAAAATAGAGAAGGTGTGAAATTATTCGAGAAAATTAAAAAATTGCAAATCGTTGTGGAAAAATTATTTTCGGTTGTAGGGTTCAATTACAGTCATTTTTGGTGAATAGACATACCCCCGAAATCTTGCGCATTTTCGAGAAAAAAATTCAGTAAGGGCGGCACTTTAAACGTTAATAACTTTTTAACGAAGCTTCCATCAACAAATTGGTATTCTTGATTTTCGTCTTATTTTGGCCTCTACTATCGCTCATTAAAATTTTTGCTAGAGGTGGCCGAACACCCTGTATAGGGTGTTCCGGGGAAAAGTCGACGATTTTATCCAGTGTGTTTAGAAAACTGAGTCAAAAAGGCCATATCCATCGTGAGTTTCATTCCATTGCAGAATAATATAAAAAATATATACTTTATACTATCTTTTTATCGCACTTTTGCTTTCACAATAAAGTCTGATGTTCGAGCTCACTTCGTTAAGAGAACCTGATATATGTATATTTGAAGCTTTGAAAATTATGCTATCCACTTCCCTATACATGTTGGTAGAAAAACGAGATAAAGTAACGTTAAACTTGTACAGGAATACGGATGTATACTTTTGAAAACGTTCGAGGCAATGCGCACAGTGAATAAGAGTCGTATAGTCGGTGACTATTGAAAATGTAAAAGTAGACTGAGCATCATTCAAACCAGTCTGCATCTTCATCAATGGCTGCCACATACCTCCGTACTTTACTAAACAACGTTCATCTCGATAAGGGATGAATACAAACTCATTCTGTACACGGCCATTTTGATTCAGAATTACCTACCAAACACGACTAGGAAAGTTAACAAATTTCCTTCGAGGACACCCTGTGTATATTATCGCGGCGTTCCTACGCGACATCTGAAAAGTTGATATCCATCGTGGTGTAATATTCCGTTTGTTCTTCTTCTCCCTTCGTTTCGCATGCATTTCAGAAGGAATCCATTAAACAAGACGGTTGAATGGATATCAACGAAACTTCACGTTTAAGTTTTATATTCCCGTCCGAAGGTTTGATTAGATTTTAAAATAAATCGAGAACCGTAGATAACGATTGCTACCTCTTGAATATAGAATACCTACGTTTCTCTTAAAAATACCCAAAAGAATTTAAGAAAAAGATCAATAAATATTTTTTTCACGGTTGTATTTTACGAAATTCCAGGATCATCGACTTTTATTTCATGTATTTTGTAAATGTCTTTGATTCCCGCAGTTCGTTCAAATATATTCTATTAATGATACCCGGATAAATGCGTTATGTAAGCCTGGTTCCACGAAGAACAACTTTGTGTAGCAATACAATATCAAATCTCCGGTCTCTATGCGATGGTTCTGGGAAATGCGAGATGTGCATAATTCATCATTAGTAGCTATTGATTAAATAAATAACTTTGCGATCGGTTTACCTATCACTTCGTCAGTCCATTAAGCAGAAGATCAAAGAAGGATGAATTCCAATTTGTGTACATTACTATATTAATGCAATGCATTGTTGGATGACCAACACGACCAGACAAACACCACTCCGTCACCTCGCAAACATTACTCATCCAAAACATCCTAGTCCAGATATCTAATCCTTACTCATCCTGAACCTCGTACCCTTCCTGAGTCACACTATCCCTTGATCATCGTCCCTACCTCTACCCATCTCTACCAATAACATATACATAGACGCCTGCAATACCGACAAACGGACAGAAAGAGTCTAGTCTTCAGTCGACGTAATAGTTGTACGAGTTTTCTTTTCTTAAATAAAGTGTTGGAATCCAACAGCTTTATCTCAGGATATTGTGGGGGATCGGTATAGGAGAAGATGGTAATAATGAACTCAATCCACACCACCTTTGAACTGCAGGAGCACAAAAGTTTATTGGAACGTTTGCTTAAAATACATGTGTATAAAAGTGTTTCGCGGAGTAACGCGCTAGCGACTCACGAATTACGCGACAAAGGTTGAAAGTCTGTAATGCCCTCTTGTCCTCTGTCCTGCCGGAGTTTTATACCCAGTTCAG